GAATTGCAACTTTCCTGCATGCTGCACAAACTCTGGCTGTAATTTTAATTTCTCTAGTAGAGTAATCCCTGTGATCATTATCTCCATCTAGTGGAGACATTGAGACATTTCAGAAACGTAGTATAGCAGTTTTCTGACTAGATGGAGCTGATGACCATAGGGGTTGCTCTATTAGATAAATTATGGCCAGAATTTGTGCAGCATGCACTAAAGGTAAATGACATTCCTCCAACAAATTTTTATAATTAGACCCCTTCATTTAAGTGAAATTGCTCACTAAAATCTGTTGAGAACTTAAAGTGGTATTAAAACCCCAAACTAGAAATGTAATATAATGCAGCGGCCAATCATTAGATGTAGTGGCTGCATTCATTTCTTTTTTTTAGGCTTTTTTCCCCCTTTGTTTTCACCTGGTGATCTGGCCAGTAACACGCCTCCTGTATTAAAGCACCTTCACTCTGGATGAAGGAGCACTTTGGACAGCAGCATTGTCGTTTTGGGGGATAGGGGAATGTTAGATATACTCGGTGTAGAGCAGGGGCGGACTGACAACTCATGGGGCCCCCGGGCAATAGGGGATCATGGGGCCCCTGTGTCCTTGCCCAAACTCAAAAAAGCCTATGAAAAAGGTACCAGGGGCTTCATGTACACTGCAGATGATAAAATGACGTTCAGGAGCTTTTCTGCATTTTTTTCAGCAGCCCCTGAACCGGGGGCGGACTGACCATTTGGAAACTCGGGCACTGCCCGAGGGCCTGGGGTCAGTAGGGGGCCCTATGAGCCTAACTGTGAGGAAACCTTTCCGCATTTGGGAATTAAATCTTTTTTCTTCCAGATATAAAGAGTGCCCCCTTGTCCTCTGTGATGACCTCAGGGTGAATAACTGTACACCAGGGGCAGACTGACCATTTGGAAATTCGGGCACTGCCTGAGGGCCCAGGGTCAGTAGGGGGCCCTATGAGCCTAACTGTGAAGAAACCTTTCCGCATTTGGAATTTAAATCTTTTTTCTTCCAGATATAAAGAGTGCCCCCTTGTCTTCTGTGATGACCTCAGGGTGAATAACTCTACACCAGGGGCGGCCTGACCATTTGGAAACTCGGGCACTGCCTGAGAGCCCAGGTCAGTAAAGGGCCCCATGAGATGCCCCTGGTACCTTTTTCATAGGCTTTTTTGAGTTTGGGCAAGGACACAGGGGCCCCATGATCCCCTATTGCCCAGGGGCCCCATGAGTTGTCAGTTTGCCCCTGCCCTGAACTCTCCCTAATGTTTTCCTATGTGTCCATGTACACTTTGTCGTTTACAGTTCTTTACAGGCAGTTGAGTTTACAGTCGTTTTTTTGCAATCAGGAGTAGATTTTATCAGTGTTTCAAATGCCAAAAGCTTGTAAACGTGGCTAACCGCATTTATAAACTTTTGGAAAATGTTTTTAACTCTTCCATTTGCAGATGCTGCCCAGAGCCTTTTTTCATCATGAAAAATGCATGCAAAGCATTTTCCCAATACTCAAATGGACCCGGTACACCATACTTTGAGGTTTTGCATGAAAGAAAATATGTTAGACACTGCTGCAATAATTTCTGCACAGAAATGAGCCGGAACACATCCAAACACCACAAAAAAAAAAAAGACAGCTAATCTCAACAAATACTGCTCTCTCTTCTTCTGCTCTCTCTATTTCTCTCAAAATGTATGCAAACGCGGCTAAAAACTGTTTTTTGACCTACATTTTCCAGCAGTCAGTTTCCATCGTTCAGAAGTGTCCCGTGTACATGGAGCCTAAGAGCTGTGAAAATGTGGAATAGACTCCCTCAAGAGTTGGTTCTGGCCAGCTCAGTGGATTGCTTTAAAGAAGGCCTGGATTCTTTCTTAGATACACAGAATATACAGTTGTGGCCAAAATTATTCAACCCCCACTGAAATTGAGTGTTTTGGCCAGTTTGACATTGCTTTTGATCATTCAGTCATCTTGCTTACATTTACATTAAAGAGGCACTTGTAGGTCAGACAAATATAACATAACAGTTATAATGAAATAACCACAAATGTCTTTTCTGTGCTCACAGCATTATCAGTTTTATTCAACCCCCAAGTGACATTCAATCTTAGTACTTAGTACAGCATCCTTTTACAGTTATAACAGCTTTTAAACGTGAAGCATAGCTTGACACAAGTGTCTTGCAGCGATCTACGGGTATCTTCGCCCATTCTTCATGGGCAAAGGCCTCCAGTTCAGTCACATTCTTAGGCTTGCGCACTGCAACTGCTTTCTTTAAGTCCCACCAGAGGTTCTCAATCGGATTTAAGTCTGGTGACTGCTGCGATGGCCACTCCAAAATGTTCCAGCCTTTCCTCTGCAACCATGCTCTAGTGGACTTGGAGGTATGCTTGGGATCATTGTCCTGTTGAAAGGTCCAACGTCTCCCAAGCCTCAGGTGTGTGACGGACTGCATCACGTTTCCATCCAATATCTCCTGGTACTGAAGAGAATTCATGGTACCTTGCACACGCTGAAGCTTCCCTGTACCTGCAGAAGCAAAACAGCCCCAAAGCATGATTGACCCTCCACCATGCTTCACAGTAGGCAAGGTGTTCTTTTCATCATAGGCCTTGTTCTTCCTCCTCCAAACATAGCGTTGATCCATGGGCCCAAACAGTTCTAATTTTGTTTCATCAGTCCACAGAACACTATCCCACAACTTTTGTGGTTTGTCCACATGGCTTTTGGCATACTGCAGTCGACTCTTCTTATTCTTTGGAGACAGCAAGGGGGTACGCCTGGGAGTTCTGGCACGGAGGCCTTCATTACGCAGTGTGCGTCTTATTGTCTGGGCTGAAACTTCTGTACCCACATCTGACAAATCTTTTCTCAGTTCCTCAGCAGTCACACGGGGACTTCTCTCCACTCTACGCTTCAGGTAGCGCACAGCAGTCGAAGTCAGCATCTTCTTTCTGCCACGACCAGGTAGCGTTTCAACAGTGCCCTTTGCCTTGAATTTGCGAATGATGCTTCCTAAGGTGTCTCTTGGTATGTTTAACATCTTTGCAATCTTCTTATAGCCATTGCCCTTCCTGTGAAGAGAAATCACCTCTTCTCTTGTCTTCCTGGACCATTCTCTTGCCTTCACCATGTTTGTAACCACACCAGTAAATGTCTAGAAGGAGCTGAGTATCACAGTCATTTTAAAGCTGCCTAATTGGTGCTTATTATGCTTGATTGCTGCTCGGTGACATCCACAGGTGTTTTCAATACCTGATGGAAAGCACCTGTATGAACCTCTGTTCTTCAGAGTGGTAGTCTTTAAGGGGTTGAATAATTGTGGCAATGAAGAAACCACATAAGAACCATTTACTACTGTATTACATAAACAATTGATGTCATTTTAGTTGCATTTGGGTAGTTACAACGTCCTTGTAGGATTTGATTCTGAATACAATTCCAAATGTACACTATAGTCCCTAAACCCCTTTACAGCATTGGGGGTTGAATAATTTTGGCCACAACTGTAGCTGGATCAGGGGCGGACTGACCATTGGAGCACTCGGGCACTGACGAGGGCCCAGGGTCAGTAGGTGGCCCCATGAAATGCCCCTGGTACCTTTTATAGACTTTTTTTGGGTGTACTTTGAGTGTGGACAAGGACACAGGGGCCCCATGATCCCCTATTGCCCGGGGGCCCCATGAGTTGTCAGTCCGCCCCTGAACTGGATACTAACATTTATAGGTAAAGTTGATCCAGGGAATATCAGATTGCCTCTCGGGGGAACAGGAAGGAATTATTTTCTCAGCAGGAGCAAATTGGATCATGCTTTGCTGGTTTTTTTTGCCTTCCTCTGGATCAACTGTCGGTATAGGATTATAACTTTTTTTTTAATGGTTGAACTGGATGGACGTTTGTCTTTTTTTTAGCCAGACTAACTATGTAACCTCACAAATGTGCTTCTGGAAGAATGGTCACACATTCCCATAGACACACTCCTGAACCTTGTGGACGGCCTTCCCAGAAGAGTTGAAGCGGTTATAGCTCCACAGGGTGGGCCAACTCACTATTGAACCCTACGGACTAATGCCCCGTACACAAGATAAGAAAATCGTACAAACAATATCGCTGATTGAACGATTTTCTCTTCGTTGATGAGCAGGATGTTTCAACCGATAACGATATTGTGAACAAAAAAATCCGGTTGGACAACAATGAAAAATGTCGTTTTGCATACGAACGACCGATTTTCAATGCGGTGGTATGACGGTCGTACGAAAAAAATCTATCAAGCGCTATCATGCATGAGCGGAGACAGAAGATGACCCGGATGTTTATGTCCAAGGAATCTTTGTAAACAGGAAAGAAAAATCCAAATTTTAAAAGTAGATTGGGCTAATGAGATAATGAAAGCAGAATTCTGCAGATTATATTTTATGTATCACTATTTATAATGTAATAAACGATATTATACTCATTGCCGTTAATTGTGTATATCGCTCGTTCTGGCCAGAAGGGCGTGGCTACAAGGTCACATGCACACCGCATCACTTCCACTTGTACGGAAGACATCAACACTACCTATTGCCCGATGAACAATTTTTTTAGATTGGTTAATGTGGGCCATGATTTTGACCAATGAACAAACGCCTCTCGGTCGTCGGATGACCGATCGGTCGATTTTCTAACCATGTATTCCCACCTTAAGACGGGGATGCCATTAACGTTCATGTGCGTTTAACCACTTCCCGACCGGCCGTTGCATATAAACGGCCGGACGGTGGCACTGCAGGGTCGGGTGGCCGTTTATAAATGGCCTCCCCGCACCCTGCTTGTGCGCGCTCCCTGGGAGCACGCAGCACCGCGATCCGGTGCCCGCTGTGTCCTCCGGACACAGTGAAACACCGATCGTCGGACGGGACCTCTGTACGAGGTCCTGATCATGTGATCACTGATTGGCCAATCAGTGATCACATGCAAAGTAGTAAGCAAGATGTCACTTGTGACATCATTGCTTACTACGTGTGAAATCTGTGAATGATCACAGAGGTCACATGGTACAAGGCTATTCACAAAAGCCTTGTACCATGTGACAAGCTGTGACCAATCACAGCTCACTCAGTACTTCTCAATGAGTGCAAGAATGCACACAGAGAGAAAGAGAAATTATTGCTTTTACATCCTATATGGGTGTAAAAGCAATCAGTGTAAAAAAAAAACAAAACAAATCTTCATCACCCCCCCCCAAGTAGTACAGTATCACCCTGGTGACACTGTACTGCTAGGGTGACAGTATGTAAAAAAAAATAAAAATAAAAAATAATAATATAAAAAAATAAAATAAAAAATGTAAAAAAAAATGTTTAAAAATTATAATTTTTGGTTATAAACTAATTTGGATTTTTTTTTTTACTAAAAAGATAACGGAATAAATTTTGGCTAAGATTTATGATGAAATATTATTTATTTGCAAAATTTTATAAAAAAAAACACTTTTTTTCAAAATTTTTGGACATTTCATTTACATAGCAAAAAAAATACAAATCCCAGTGGTGAATAAATACCACCAAAATAAAGCTTTATCTGTCTCAAAAAAATGGTAAAAAATTAATTTGGGTACAGTGTTGCATGACCGCGCAATTGTCATTCAAAGTGTGATAGCGCTAAAAGCTGAAAATGGCCCTGGTCAGGAAGGGGGTAAAAGTGTCCGGTCTGGAAGTGGTTAAAGGCCGACCAACCAATACTTTTGGCAATATAGTGTAGATTAACGATCTGAAGCCAAACTCCAGCTAATATTTTATAAGCAGTTACAGCAAACAGTGTTTTCCATTTGGGATAAAGGTTTTACATAAATAAATAAAAGCTGATCATTGTAAGCACCCCCGTTAGTGTTAATTGGTTTGTCTCATTCCTGTAACTGCAAGAGACCTTTTCTGTTCAAAAACAACAGACTTACTGGCCAGATGAAAATAGACAAAAGAAAGCCTAAAAAAGAAAATGAATGCGGACATCACATCTATGAATTGGTAAGCTGAAATATAATATATGTCTGCTTTTCAGTTTATTACCACTTTAACACTTCCAGGGAAGTTGATCTCCTGCGTCCCCCCCCCCCCCCTGCTGTGTGCAGTGGTTCTTCCCACCCACTTCAAGGTCACTACAAGGCAAAATAATAATGCAGATGTTGGCGGGTGGGACCATTGATCGCAGTGGGGGGCCCGGGAGAACGACACTTCCGTAGATGCTGGTTACTTAAACTTCAGAAGACAATTCTGGATGGACTTTTGTCTTTTTTCAGCCAGACTAACTATGTAATTCCTTTCAAATGGGGGCATGGGCAGAAGAAGGAAGGTAAGTATTCATTGTCTTCCTTTGCAGGTTTTTTTGCCCCATTTGATATTCTTGACTTGGTCACTTTAACTGCACACAAGCTGTCTGTATAAAGTGCAATGTCATTTCTGAGCTTCACCAGATGATGGAAAATCAACTATTTTAACGAGGCAGTATATTAATTAAAATGTGGAACTTCGGGCAATGTTATAACCTCAGGCATGGATGAACAAACAGGAAATGGCATTCCGACTCCATACAATGGAAGGGAGCCATGAAAGATTAAACTGACTATCGCTATCACATTATTCCAGTGCAAAAAGTGCCAAATGTGCAGCAGGAGGTTTCAGTATTAAAGGCTCATATATCTGCGCCTCCAGTAATGTGGTATCTCTCATTTATTATATGCATACCAGAGAGTGTGTGCTGGATCAACTGCATGCTGTTTAGTAAAAGTTCCAAGTTAACTGTAAAGTCACTAGTCTGAAGTTCTTTCAAAGGGGTTGTCAGAACTTTAGCTCTGAGAAAATAATCAGTATATCATTTATGAAAACAGGCCGGGATCTCGAATTAACCAGTAGCAGAAATGCATGGGTGCGCAAAATCATGTGTATATACGTGATTTTGCAGTACCAGGTAGGGGGCGCTGCGCCACCATTCACGGCCATGGCTGGCAATCACCGGGTCCCAGCTGGTTATTTCCCGCTGTCATTGATAGGATTGGTGTCATGTCATGATTGATTGGATGTCAGTGACACCAAGCCAGTTCCCCCCAGTGTCCAAATGCCCGCCGCAGTCCCGTTATAAGTCGCTGATCGCCGCCATTACTAGTGCGAAAAAAAAATCTCAGTATCTATACCGCCATTTGTAAACGTTATAACTTTCACGTAAACCAATTAATTTACATGCATTGGGATTTTCTTTAGCAAAGACACGGAGCAGAATACATTTTGGCCTAAATTTATTACGAAATCAGATTTTTTAATTTTTTTTACTGGACATGTTTAATAGCAAAAAGGTGTCAAAAATATAGGTTTTTTTTTTCAAAATTGTCGGCCTTTTTTTATTTATAGCACAAAAAAAGTTAAAAACGCAGAGGTGATCAAATACCACCGAAAGAAAGCTCTATTTGTGGGGAAAAAAATATGTAAATTTCATTTGGGTGCAGCATTGCATGACCGCGCAATTGTCAGTTAAAGCAACACAGTGCTGTATTGCAATAAATGACCTGGTCAGGAGGGGGGGGGGGGGGGGGGGGGGGGTAAATCCTCTGGAGGGCAAGCGGTTAAGCCGATTCCTTACTAATTTTCATAAATCAACTGATAATCTGAATTTTTTATTTGCTCTAACTTGAAGACAAATGTGTAAGAATATATTTATATTAATAATAGAATCAGTGCAAGATGGTAATGAAATATAATAGTTGATGATAAATAATAAGCAGGTGGGAGAAATCAAACACCCAGCACAGGAAAGTATGACCAGTCAAAACCAACAGATCACTGCTCCACTGACTATTATTTATTATTTCAGGTACTTATATAGCACCATCAATTTACACAGCACTTTACATATATATTGTACATTCACATCAGTCCCTAACCCTCAAGGGGTGTACAATCTAAGGTCCCTAACCCTCAAGGGGCGTACAATCTAAGGTCCCTAACCCTCAAGGGGCGTACAATCTAAGGTCCCTAACCCTCAAGGGGCGTACAATCTAAGGTCCCTAACCCTCAAGGGGTATACAATATAAGGTCCCTAACCCTCAAGGAGCGTACAATCTAAGGTCCCTAACCCTCAAGGGGTGTACAATCTAAGGTCCCTAACCCTTAAGGGGCGCACAATCTAAGGTCCCTAACCCTCAAGGGGCGTACAATCTAATGTTCCTGACCCTCAAGGGGCGTACAATCTAAGGTCCCTAACCCTCAAGGAGTGTACAATCTAAGGTCCCTAACCCTCAAGGGGCGTACAATCTAAGGTCCCTAACCCTCAAGGGGCATACAATCTAAGGTCCCTAACCCTCAAGGGGGGCGTACAATCTAAGCTCTAATGTCCCTAACCCTCAAGGGGCGTACAATCTAAGGTCCCTAACCCTCAAGGGGTGTACAATCTAAGGTCCCTAACCCTCAAGGGGCGCACAATCTGAGCTCCCTAACTGACATTCATACATACACATACTAGGGCCAATTTAGACAGGAGTCAATTAACCTACCAGCATGTCTCTGGAGTGTGGGAGAAAACCCACGCAGGCACAGGGAGAACATGCAAACTCCAGGCAGGTAGTGCAATGGCTGGGATTTGAACTGACGACCTGAGTACTGCTAGATGGAAGTGCTAACGACTTAGTCACTGTGTTGCCCACTATACTGCACTAAGGCAAAAACTAAACTAGGACCGAGTGCGTTCCACGTCGGCCTAGGAAGAGCGGTGGCCATCTTGGAATTGCATCTGAGCTCCCCCTGCTGCTGCTGGCCGGCACAGTGAGCTCTAGAAGACAGTGACAGGAGCCCTGCATTGACGTTTTCAAATTCCTCAGCCTTATCTTCTGTAAGTGGTTTCAACCTTTTACTCCAATACACATGTGGATGTGGATGTACTACTGTACTGTACCCTCGTGTTCTCTTCTGTCTTGTGAATGGGGGCCCTGATGAAGGGGAGAGTCTGTTTGGTCCCAAAACATGTTGGATTTTTTTCTGCTATGAATCAATTTCATCATTGAAGGCCTTCAACTCTTGGATGTTTGTTGGTGCTGTTTTTGGATTGTATGTATGTAGATTTAGATTTCTGGTTGTGTCCCTGTTGCAGATTTTTGCTCACTTCCTATCTGGTAAAATCATTATCATCAGGACAGAAATAATTCTTACCTATCAAAAAATATGAATTTTGCAGCAAAAGCTGGTTTTACAATTGTATCTTTTGATGGACTATTCATTCTTACCTGGTTACTTTTGGCTGGAATTCGGAGTGGGATCTATTGAGGAGGCTACAATATCAAGGGTCAATGGAACTGACTGATAAAGACAAAATGTTCGGTATCTGACTCCATGTACTCCTGTGCATCCGTCACATGTCTGGTCATGCCCTGCAGATTCTGCGGTTTCCAACTGCTGACTGGTCATATGGACGGACATCTAACATTTCCTGTAGAATCATAATCTCCAATTCCATATTTAACCCAGCTTACTCATGATCCTCGGACTGTGAAGAATGAGGCATGTGGTCTGTGTGGGAATCCCATGCAGGCAGCTGATGTTTACAGAGACATTTCTTTCTTCGGGCTAGGTTCGCAGCCATACATTTTTTAGTGTGTTTGAAGATCTGCAGAAAGGCAGTACAATCCATTTAATTTGATTTCCCGTTCACATCCATGCAGTTTCCCACAATACTTTTTTTTGGAAAGGTGCAGGAACTTTACATGCAGCACTATACGTTTTTGACTACAGACTCACATTTTGACACATTTTTGCTGCGTATTCCTATATAACAGACACGTCCTTTTAGCAACATCAACACATAGTATGCCATTGGCCAAAACAACAAAAAAAAACAAAACAAATAAAAAAATGCATTAAAACACACATGAAAAAATGCAAAAGGCATTGGAAAATGTGCCACGACGATGCATCAACTGAACATGCATAGATGTAAAACTACCCTTACGGCTGGTTCACACCAGATGCAGTCCAGTGCGTTTGCGTTTTTAACCACTTCTCGCTGACCTCGTGCATATATTTATTTATTTTTCATTTATTTCAGCAGCACTTTACTTATATTGTACATTCACATCAGTCCCTAACCCTCAAGGGGCGTCATCTAAGGTTTACGCAGCACATACAATTAAGGTTCCTATAAGAGGCTTATTGTAACAAGGGACGTCAATCAAGGTCCCTAACCCTCAAGGGGCATACAATCTAAGGTTCCTAACCCTCAAGGGTACAATCTAAGGTCGGGGCAAACAAAGGTCTAAGGTTCCTAACCCTCAAGGGACATACAATCTAAGGTTCCTAACCCTCAAGGGGCGTACAATCTAAGGTCCCTAACCCTCAAGGGGCAATACAATCTAAGGTTCCTAACCCTCAAGGGGCGTACAATCTAAGGTCCCTAACCCTCAAGGGGCGTACAATCTAAGGTTCCTAACCCTCAAGGGACGTACAATCTAAGGTCCCTAACCCTCAAGGGGCGTACAATCTAAGGTCCCTAACCCTCAAGGGGTTACAATCTAAGGTCAATCTCAAGGGCGTACAATCTAAGGTTCCTAACCCTCAAGGGGCGTACAATCTAAGGTCCCTAACCCTCAAGGGGCGTCAATCTAAGGTCCCTAACCCTCAAGGGGCGTACAATCTAAGGTCCCTAACCCTCAAGGGGTACAATCTAAGGGGCGTACAATCTAAGGTTCCTAACCCTCAAGGGGCATACAATCTAAGGTTCCTAACCCTCAAGGGGCATACAATCTAAGGTTCCTAACCCTCAAGGGCGTACAATCTAAGGTTCCTAACCCTCAAGGGGCATACAATCTAAGGTTCCTAACCCTCAAGGGGCATACAATCTAAGGTTCCTAACCCTCAAGGGCGTACAATCTAAGGTCCCTAACCCTCAAGGGACATGCAATCTAAGGTTCCTAACCCTCAAGGGGCGTACAATCTAAGGTCCCTAACCCTCAAGGGGCTTACAATCTAAGGTTCCTAACCCTCAAACCCTCAAGGGGCGTACAATCTAAGGTTCCTAACCCTCAAGGGGCATACAATCTAAGGTTCCTAACCCTCAAGGGCGTACAATCTAAGGTTCCTAACCCTCAAGGGGCATACAATCTAAGGTTCCTAACCCTCAAGGGGCGTACCATCTAAGGTTCCTAACCCTCAAGGGGCATACAATCTAAGGTTCCTCAAGGAGCGTACAATCTAAGGTTCCTAACCCTCAAGGGGCATACAATCTACGGTTCCTCAAGGAGCGTACAATCTAAGGTTCCTAACCCTCAAGGGGTACAATCTAAGTTCCTAACCCTCAAATCTAAGGTCCCTAACCCTCAAGGGGCGTACAATCTAAGGTTCCTAACCCTCAAGGGGTGTACAATCTAAGGTTCCTAACCCTCAAGGAGCGTACAATCTAAGGTTCTTCAAGGAGCGTACAATCTAAGGTTCCTAACCCTCAAGGGGCATATAATCTAAGGTTCCTCAAGGAGCGTACAATCTAAGGTTCCTAACCCTCAAGGGGCATACAATCTAAGGTTCCTCAAGGAGCGTAAAATCTAAGGTCCCTAACCCTCAAGGGGCATACAATCTAAGGTTCCTCAAGGAGCGTACAATCTAAGGTCCCTAACCCTCAAGGGGTTTACAATCTAAGGTCCCTAACTCACAAGGGGCGTACAATCTAAGGTTCCTAATCCTCAAGGGGTGTACAATCTAAGGTCCCTAACCCTCAAGGGGTGTACAATCTAAGGTCCCTAACCCTCAAGGGGCGTACAATCTAAGGTCCCTAACCCTCAAGGGGCGTACAATCTAAGGTCTCTAACCCTCAAGGGGCTTACAATCTAAGGTTCCTAACCCTCAAGTGGCGTACAATCTAAGGTTCCTAACCCTCAAGGGGCATACAATCTAAGGTTCCTAACCCTCAAGGGACATACAATCTAAGGTTCCTAACCCTCAAGGAGCGTACAATCTAAGGTCCCTAACCCTCAAGGGACATGCAATCTAAGGTTCCTAACCCTCAAGGGGCGTACAATCTAAGGTCCCTAACCCTCAAGGGGCTTACAATCTAAGGTTCCTAACCCACAAGGGGCATAC